CAACAGGTCACTGTTAACAGGATTCAACTTTACTGCAGACTCGGGTATTCCTTTGATTCCAACAAATCACATGACTACACTTTGCTTGACATATATTCCACTGATTAAGGTTTACTATTTTGTCTAGGAACCATCACTACATTATTGGATTAAATACAATTTTAGATATCGCTAGGCGCTACACAAGCAAATACCTATAAAAACGTTAACATTACTTTACTTGTACCATCCCCTTTACCCCTCCCCCTCAAAGTACAATCGATACAAAATGTAAATACAACAGCACAGTTCCTTTTCACTAAGATAAACTGTTCGATCATGGACGAGTAAAGGGTGGAAATGTTCACTAACGCTATAGAGATTTAACATTATAAAATGATGTCAAATGTATAATACTCTGAATCCCTGCTATCATATAAATCAGCAATGTTGCTATTTCTCAAGGTTACACTGTTCATATATATAATGCATATATTATATTGCAGACCCTCTAACGATCGAAAATTGAGAAAAAAACAAGAATTAAACAATTTCCCGATTAAATCATTGTGATAGAGCATTAATACAGTGTTGCTGATACCAGTCTTTCACTAATCATATATGTGTAATCCGTCCAAACATGCTACCGAGAACAAGTAAACACACAAGTAAGATAATAGTACAGCTTACTTAAATAACAGATTACCATGAACTGCGCTCAAGTTTCCACTTTACGACAAACAAGGATATTCACTACAGATTACACGGCTACTATTCCACATATTAATGTTTTCAGAGACGTTTACCCTAGCAACAGTCGTTATAGCATCTCATTAATATTGTGGCAATTATATCTAGTCGCTACATGTATACAGATAAACATTCATGCCGTTGTTAACAATTTACTACCCCTCTGAATACAATCGATACAAAAAGTAAATATGACAGCACGGCTCATTGCACTAAGATAAATTGGTTTCCGGTTGAAATGTTCCGATGAACATTCGTATGAGTGGTAAAAAACCTCTTCGCTTATGGATTGCTTTAGCAAATGACAAGTTTATGCAATAAAGGATCGGATGATATAATATCAACAAAATGTATTCCTTTATCAAAAACGTGGAATGTGTTTTATAGATTACTGACAACAATGGTTGGGTATTAAGCGTTTTACATGTATTTGAAATCTTTTAATGACAAAAATGAATTAATTTAGGGCTAGTGCACTTCCCCATCTAGATTTTCACATTTCTTTCAGTCGCTGGTTAGATTTCAACATTTAGCCTTATGGCATCACTAACAGTTCACTGTAGGACTAAACAACTGAATGACACAATATGATTATTTGGCTTTACTGTATCTGATTCTCAGTTTGTATTTACATGTGCTATTCACGTGTGTGTATTTTGTACACCTTCAAGACTGCAAGTAGATGTATAGGCCCCGAGATATACTGAAACCAGAATGGCACATTTTACTGTTTTAGTTATTTGACTATTGATACGACTCAGAGTAACAGATGAACTTGACGATCTTTTGAAAGTGTCAGATATATGAAAATTAGAAAGTTTATTTCATTATGAGTCTAGTACATCTACCCATCTTAATTTTGAGATTTCGATCAATTTTGATTTTAATCGATCGCCTTTTATAATTCAAAATTGAGGCCTTTAACACTGACTAACCACAGAATGAGAAAAGTCTATGAAAGATGCAATTAAATCCATTATTTAGCACTTCTACATTTAATTCTAAAATATATTGAAAGGTATTGTTTACTTGCGCGACATTTGTACAATCTTCTGAAATACAATCACGTCATCCCAGTATCATCAATATTACTTTGCTCGCTAGCGTTCGGAGATTCACAAGAAATGATTAGGGAAATGCAAAGAAAAACCAACTGAAACATAGCTGTATTATATAGAAATTTACATGCCAGCATTCGTATATCAGCGAATTGAATTTTTTATTTAAGGTATTAGAGGTGTAATTAAGAACTTCTTGTCAAAATCCGGATATTCATAAGTTTTTTCTACAAGGATATTCTTCGGTTCATATCGACATACATCGAACACTGTCACTAGCTATTCTTGACAGAAAGAAAATGAATGAAAAAGGAATAATTCGCCCCAATTACCTTGGTATAGAAACAAGTAGGCTTAGATATAAGTACAACCTCAGTGAAATAGATCTGTCTGTTGATGACAACTTTAGTTTAGTACCAAACAAGTAGGATCCAGATCTGCCAAAAACGTTAATATTGGTGGGTGCATATCGGAGCTACAGTTAGCAGATTTACATTGCCTGCAGTCTGGTACTAGTATACCTAGCCACTAACTATCGCTGTTGGGAAATCACGAAAGTTTGTGATTATCTGCCACTTGCCATTATGTCTAACACAATTCGTCACTTTGGTAGAACTAACGATACACTCTAAAACTGTGTTGTTAACTAAGTTAGTTTAAAGCATTCAATTTATGGTATAGAATCATATTTTTTCTGAACTCAGTGTTGGCAATCGTGCAACGGACAATCTGTCTTCGACTATTGCTTTAGCAAAAGTTGGAAAGTGGGGGGGGGGATGTCATCAACCAGTTTCGAGCCAGTACGATCGATTGTGCAAAGAAAGTTAATTTTTTTCACATGTGGGGAATGGATCACTTTGATGAATATATGCACATATATACACTTTATCTTTTTCTTCTCTTTTTAAATAGCTCAAATTCGACATTTGAAACTTTTTATTTCAAAATCATATTGATTTATCACAGTAAAAGTTTATCGGTGTTGTTTACCCCTCGTTGCGCCCTAATTAGTGACTAGTATGACGGTAGCTAGACTTGTCAGTTTAACAACATTGTGAATGGAAGCTTTCCATATAAAAATTGACAAACTTAAAAGATAGCTGTTATTTTTAGGCTGATTCATTCCATCGTATTTTTCACTGGCATCATATTATTGAAAACAAAACAGTTTTTGGCATTGTCGAAAAAGTGTCGTATTTTATTGAGCAAGGTCAGGTCTTAGACATCAACCTTTAACTGTTTTAACAAAAATTAACTTCAAAAACAATACAATTATTTCATTTGAAAAAATCAAAACAGTTTGGAAAATAAAACATTCAGAGAATATCATTAACATTCCAGAAATTGTCATTCTAAATAGTGTAGCCTCTTAGTTTTTGGAGTAAATCAAGGACATTAGGGTATAGGAATATATATACTTATATCGTTTAATCCTTCGGACAGAAACTCATAAAACTTTGTAAAAAAGATGCCTCAAAGGCATCTCTTCCCACTACATCCCTAATACCTTAAACAATTATAATTATATATGTTCTTCATGTGTTTAAACAAGGAGTCAATATCTAATCATACGAACAGTTTTTCCTGTAAGATTTTAAAATGTATGACGACCTTAAAAATTCCAATAATCTTCATCATCCTGCATCTCTCCGTCCCCGTTGTCGACATCTTGCATGAAGCCGTGATATTGGGAATAAGCCCTCGAATATCGATTTAGCATCGACACCGAATGCATGCATGTTGATATCCAGAAATAGAACATTCACAACACAAAAATTGCAGTTAGCACGCTAATCTAACTGTTTGGTGGAATGGTGAGCATGTTACACTGTATGAAAAGATCGATATAAGCGACTGATGTAGAAGAGTGTGTCGTGTCCTTAGTTTCCAACAATGATGGGAATATAGGATGGGAGTGGTAGATACATATCTTGTTAATTAAAGACAAGGCATTATTAATATATCTGAAAGTGGAATTAAAGGACTTTAAAAGGTGTTTGTGACCTGTTTGAAAAACTCTTTATTAGATTCAGCCACGTTGGAAAACAAAATAAGTTAACCAACTGAAATAACTGTCCTTGTACTTATAAAGGATTTCTTTGCCGATAAATATTCATTTTGCTGAAAATAAGAGGCGAAACAAGCTGCACATTAAACATAATAAATATCTCCTTGACCTTACCGCAAATGAGTATTTTTTTTAGGAAACGCCTGGTTTCGCCTCTTATTTTCGTCGTATCTATGCTTATCTTTCTGAGAATTGTGAAAATATGTTTATCTAAGTTTCGGTTGTAGTAAAAATGCCAGATTGGTATGGCGTCCACGGATTTCTGAGGTTTCCGTTCCTTGTCACTGTCAGTGATGCCTCATTATATTTTATCGTTTATTTTATCAGATTTACAGCCTAAAGGTTATGGTGTCATTTTTCCGCTTAATACATGTTATATATGTAAGTCAGATTCACATCATAAAGGTCAACATGCTATTTTCTCTACACCATTCTAAGGGATTCGATTCCGTGTCAGTCATTTCCCTTGTTACCCTTGTTTTTTTGGGTTTTTTTTAAAATTTTATCATGTTTTAGTTTTAATTATGACTTGCTAGCAAGTCGGATTCATATCCTTGTCTGAGATGATGAGGAATGCATAGCATACAGCATCATGTCATAGTTGTCACTAAAATGAGATGTACTGGGTAATAAACTCACTGAGCTGTACATATATCATGTCCACGGTATGTCAAACGAATTTTTATTCGCTTTGTTTATTTCTCTCATGAAAATACGATATATATTGAGCTTTCTAGTGTTACAACAGACGAAATAATCCGACAAAACAAGACAAAGCGCTGTCTTAAAACAATTTTTTAAAGGACAAAAACAATAACCGCTTTGTACTGAAATTTTATTTTCAATTCGTATTTTAAATGAAACAACAAAAAATCACATTCACCATGGGAAATGAAATCAAATAACAATATCAACACCAAGGAATGCGATGAGGCCGACAAAAAAGTAAATCACATTCTTTGTATATTCGTTTTTTTTGAGGCAACATATGACACAAACATAAATCATATTTTAGCATGTGTCTGCACGTTTTCGTTCATGTTGTGAATGTTTGTGAAAACGCAAGTGTTAAAAACAATAAAAACAAATGTTCTTTCACTTTTCACCGGAAACAACTGAAGAGGACCACAGTCAATAATCCAATTTCACGTTAAGTCTCGCAGTATACGCTGCCGACTACCCTCACATTTTGTGTTGTGCTGACAGCATTTGTGAGAAAGAAACAATCGCTTGAGTCCTCGCCTAAAATTGACACTCCACAAGATGTAGAATAAAAAGTTCACACAAAATGTCATATAGAATATGATCTGAAAGATTTGGTTTAACGATCGGTCGGTGATAGTAGGACGGATGTCCGTAAAGGCTGTCATAATGATGAAGCGGACTTTGTTGATGTAGGAAGGCGCGCTTAGTACTACGTAATTAATTCCTATAGCTAGCAGCACTCTTGTTATCTTTACCAGCGATTTCTCCTTTTTTGACAGGCGTGTCCGTATTTCTGACCTTGTTATCCATACATGTTTGATAAGAATTGCACCAATCAGCATAACCAGTATTATGGAAGGTAAAACCAACACTACCACGGTATCAATGTATGTAAAGATCTCGGTGATCCGGGGATGAGCGGCCGATTCTGTACATATATTGTGCCCCCTCACAACAACGACTCCAGACGCCCACATCACAAACAAATAAATGACAATTCCAATGGCCGTCACGGTAGACACAATAACCTTTGCTTTAGGAACTGTACAGAAATATGTGGCTTTCTGCAAATGAAATGTGAATATGTAGTTCTCTACCGTGATGCATACCACAAACCACACGGTAAGGAAACTACAGACGTAAGTCACAAACACAATGCTCTGACACCAAACTGGCTCGTGTACAAGTCTGAAACCAGTTACCTCTAGCCAAACCAGGAACAGAGCTACTAGAAAGAGAGAGCCACATGCCGATAGTCCACCTAAGTAGATGTTGGATGACGTTTTTCGTAAGTCCTTTGATAGAAATATAAATAATGATATAACATTGCCAGTTAGTCCGGCAATACAGATGACAGGCTGTACATATATGGTCATTACGCGGGCCAACTGGTAGAGCACAAGCGAGTCGGAATCGTCCAGGGAAAAGTAGTCTTTGGCCGCCATTTGAGAAGAGTTATTGAAGGAGTGTGTATCCATGGCTTTGTCACTGTAACTGATGACAGATAATCACTGTAAGGAATTATTCTTATGTATGTGAATTTTGCGGTACTTGTGTCTTTACATTTGATGAAGGTGAAACCAGTCAGTTTCCAAAAGTGTTAAAGATGATATGTGAAAACTAAAATCTGTAAATCATCGAAAGTTTTGTGACAAACATGAATCATTTCACATCTATTATCACAAGCAGACGGATAACACAATCGTTATCAAACCGCCGGTAGTAACCTATAAAATTACACTAGACTATGATGGAATTGCTACATCGTTGTTATTTTATACTTAAAAATGGTATGGGTTCCGAGTAGTTGTTATCTTCTTTCGGAACGCTGTCTTCTGTCGGAACGCCCACTTCCGGACTCAGGCAACCTATCGTCGACAAGAATGAATTCAGTCACAGTTTGATTTTTCTCCCGTTGTGAATGGCACTCCCGTTACCACACAAACCTTAAATAATAAGAAATATATCATACATACCTGTAATAATTATGTGATGGTGTGATTGTGTGAAATTTGTGATAATGAGAGCAAATTCTTGAATATAGAACACTTCCATCAAGTAAACGCCACAGGTTGTCACAGTCAGACAGTAATACAAATTGATGCGATATTAAAGCAATTAAGTCTGCGATCAAAATCAAATTAGTTCTTTATCTTTCTCATTTACAACAATCTAGAGCATTGTTTTGATGTCGGCATTAAAGAAAAAAACAGAATTTGTAAAATGTTCATAAATATTCTTTCAGAATGTTAAACCATTATTATACTTTCCAGGTGAATGAAAGGTAAATGAAATGAGCAATATATTATATTGGAAGCTGCAAAAAATAGTCACTATATAGAGGGACTTAACATGATAATCAAGCGAGGGATGTTTTAATTACTCTTAACTTCGTTGTAATATGAACAACTTAAATATTTTGTTATATATATTCTTATTCTATCTTATGACATATAAAAGTACAATGTGTACTTAATGTAATGCTGAAATTCTCGACAGTATATGGCTAAAGGATATATATATATTGACTGTGTGACGGATATCGGGGGGTTAAATTAAAGTTCACCGAATATTTATCCTCTGTAACCTTATTTGAATATCTATTATAGACAGTCCAATATCTATTGCTATTCATAACATAAAGAATTCTTAATCTCTAGTTGATGTATTAGTATCCTAAGCCTTTTGCATTAATCTGTTTACCTGTTGTTACCTTAAAATATGTAAGCAATCAATCACATCAAAACCTACTGACTTCTTTCTTCAATATAAATTGTGTTAGTATCATTTATTTGCCCACCCATTTACAAACGTTCAGATGAACTAGGTGATACCGGTAGTACATAAGATCATCACACAAGGAGGAGGAGTTCCTTCATGGTAGGGGAACAATGGTATAGGTAGATCTATGCTCGTTGTCGTGCTGCTAGCTTTACCAGAATTTAATGACACCATTTCAAAAGTATCACCAAACCTGCTGTACCTGGTTGACCATCATATCTCTTATAAGAGAGAGAACACAGCATGGTTGTTATGGTGATTATTACAGTTAACCCGACACTCAATACTTTGGATAAAATTTTCGTTGTTACTCCCAAACTCAAGTCATACACATCTTACATGATTAAATAATCGTAGGCATTGGTTCTCGGCTTTTATATTGACTCCCTTGATTGCAAAATGTTTATTCACAAAAGCAAAACAAAACAAACCAACAAACAAAAAACGGGGGAAGATTTATGTTTTTTAAAAGTCGATCGCTGAACATGGCATTTCTGATTGTAATAAACTTGTGACTGACTGCGAGTTATAACAAATTATCGAAAGTCTCAATGTTATTCTGACAGCAACATCCAATGTCACATCTCCTGCCATGGTATCTAATGTTATTTGACAATTTTGATATCCTGTCTCTTTGTTTCAGGAACAACGAGATGCTACATCAATGGGATATACTGGACTTTTTACAGAACGGAAATTTGTTAATGCATCCATACATTTCGAGAGAATTATGATTCCAAATGACCTAATGAAAGGTTCCACATAGATACAACAGATTGTTGTAGCATTTGTTTTAAATTCTGCACAGCCTTGTCTAGCCAGAGAGGCACATATCCGGAGTGTGAGTTACCCCTTGTAATAAACAACCCAAGCAATGGACTCAATCAGTTTGTTGATAGATTGCAGATCTTCAGACATCTCAACTTTGAATTGAAAATCTTTCCTGCACAAGATTAAATGTCTTCTGTTCATTAATCGATAATGCCACCATGCGATGTTGAATGAAAGATAAGTCATCAACGGTGACTGAACTAAACAAACAGTCGATAATTTCCCAATAATAGAGAGGATTGATCGTTTTGAATGTGTTTTATAGTCTACAGAAAGCTATTCATTATTCTTAAATGTGACCATTTCCAAAGGCTGCCTATAGGTCATTACCATTATATTAAGCCCTGCTGCCTGGATGTCTAATATCTTGATCTGATCAGATGATCTGGAAACATTAGTTACTTCATTTGCTAACATTTTAATCCTTCGCTCATAACGTAAAAATGTTGTATAAAGGTTACCAGCCGTGGAAAACTTGATAATCACCAATCTTTTGAAATACATCATCTTGCACTATCTTTTCAACCTTATCAAGAGGTTTCTTCCTATCCCTACCAAGCTCATAGTTTACCAAATTGAGGATGTAACAAGAGGGTGCATATGTAGAATGTAATATAATTTCCACTATAAAGAGCTCAACGAAACCAGAATTGATAAGAAAGATATCTTGATAGCCACGTTTATCAACGAAATTAACAGAGCATATGAAACTGTTCAGGATTAGGACCATTTATCATTATCACCAGAAATTATTTACTGATCCTATTTAGGGTAAGACAGGGTATTTCAACTACTAGATTGGATATTTCCTTCTTGTTCGGCCTGATTCCATGAGAGGTATGCCGTCTTTCATGGAAAAGTCATCCGCGCTCTTCGAAATTCATCACTAAGACTATGATTTAATTGTAATATCTATGCCATTTGATTTATCAATTTAAGATGGAGTGTTGCTTTAACGACCTTACGAAATCTTGTCTCTGAACTCTTCAGAAAAAAAACCACCGAGTTTGACTAGTATGAGGTGTTTAGCATGATTTTTCTTACTTGTACCAAACCTGCCCAATTTGTTCTAATAATATATTATGGTTTCCGTTACGATTGTAATCTGCAATTCACTGATCTCGAATTGTCCTTTGTCAGCACAATTTTCTTGCATGGATTAAGACTTCTGCCTTGGTTTTACTACTGGTACTTATGGTACACCTGTGTTACATAAGAAATAAGAAGGGAGAACGAGGATGTTTCTCTAACATTGCATCGAATAGCTGCGGAATATAGGAATTGATTCATATGATTCAAAACTTAAATCACCTCAGCATTCCAGTGATGATATTACATTTGTCTTTTTGACCAATTAGAACATTGTTTTCTAGTCATTGAACTGAAATTCGTAAATTTGCCTTTCCAGACGCAAATGAAACGAAGGTTGATTAAGTTGGTTTTGCATAAAACCTAATCTTTCCCATTTACGTTTCGGGTTTTCTATGGTGTATAAAACAGTTTTATGATCGATTCTTATCAGATACCAGAATCAAAATGGTTGAATACTACGTAAAACATCCTGTTTGAAATGTCGTGCTCCTGATCTCGAGCGTAAAAATCAAACTATTGACGTCAAAAAGCGCGATATTTCCCGCACGTTTTGTTGAAGAGGTTTGATATTTTTTAATTATTATTATTTCCTAATATACGCAACATTCACAAAGGCTTGAAGAATAATAACTATACCATTTGTTGTTATTGACAGAATAAAATGTTGAAATTATTTCTTTGTTAACATGCTGCCATTTACGATCGAAAATTCCTTTAAGGCTCCCTGGAAGGCCCGCATTTTCTATTAACATGTAAACGTCCAACCACAAAAAGCACACAGCACGTGCATCATCGCTATTCACCTGTAAACATGCCAACTTTCTGCATCTGCACATTTCCCCATTTTTTTCCCGTTGATGCTGTGTGTTCAAATTGGTCGCTTTTTTCAGCCTTCGATACTTCGTTTAATATCGGTTTATATTTTCAGTGGGGCAATTTTTCTTTGTTTCGATATCCCCGCCAAGTATTCCTAAATTCCTCAGTCTAAGTATGATGTAATGCTACTTTTACCTAATCCAAGTGAAAAATGTTCTCATTAATCACGTTAGTTTGTCAAATGATGTGTATATTGCGACATAAATTGTGTTAAGGTTTCCAGAGCAACTTGTCTATTCTCAGGGGAGGTCCCATTCAGAATTATTTTGTTTCAGGGTGACGTCAAAATCTTATTTACCGCCTTAGGCTCATCCTACTTTTAAACACAACATGATCCTGTTTACACGGCGGTAGTCCCCAAAAGCCCTGACTGATCATTAATAAACCGTTGATCAACTGCTGACATTTCACAACTAAACCAGTTTTGAAACTAGTATGGTTTGGTAATTGTGCTAGACACACATACGTACTTTGTGGGTTTTACTTTTGTAAATTTACTTACTCTAACCTATGCTGAAATATAATTATTTTGTTTGTTCGAAGGGAACGTTTATGATTATTTTTTATCTTATAACTGGAAAGATAGTGACACCGTGACAACCGTGTCCATTAGCCAATCTCGCCCTAGAATAATATTCCTATATGTCATTAATGGCCTACAACTGTGGTTTATTTTGGTTTCCTACTTTTTATTTTTATATTAACACACCCAGCCTTTCACTGCCAGGAAACCTCTGCCAACGTAATTAGTTTCCTTATGAATTTCGGTGGTGATTTTCCACACGACACTCCATAATGCTCTATTTCTTGTCGATCGAAAAGTCTTAAGCATACATTTAGAGATCATTCAATATTGATCGGATGAGTTAATGCTTTAAGGTCCTCTTGGTTAGTATTT